CCTATCTAATTTTCCCCTGAGTAAATAGTGGTAGTAGAAACAAAAGGTGGTGTCATGTGGGGAGCTTTTTTTAGTTGATTTGGGGGTTGAAATAGAAACTAAATTTTTTTATTTTGTTGAAGTCAATAAGTATCTTTTTGTTGTTGATTTGTTTTTTGTGGGTGATGATTATTCCATTTCTAATCTCAGGATTATTTGCTTTCAAGTGTTTGTGAAAATGCTGATACCAATTACTTTTCATATGGGTTATTTTCTCAAAAAAATAAATCACGTGTTCCACTAATATAGATTTATTGTGTTGAGGGAGTTTACGACAATCACAAGGGGAGGCTTTGGGTATGAATTGCAGTGGGTATGATAAATTTGTTGTGATTATGTTTTGATAATGCACTATGGGGTATGAGGTTCATGTTCATATTAAGAATTGAATCACATAGGTCTCCTCATACATATCCATAGAATTCTTCTTTATTTGAAAAAAGATATAGCATAGTAGCGAACATTAGTTTTGCAAGGGCTTTATTTAGAATATGGATTGTTTCGCCATGAAGCATTTATGTATGTAGCTACATCACCGATCTCCATATTTGTCATCTGTAAAAATTGTTTTGTTTAGAAGACTATGGAAAAATCAATATTTTGGAATAGTTTCTAAAATGAAGGGAAAAAGATTTTTCAATTTCAAAACTAATTCATTTTTTAAATACAACACTCTTGGGAGGTTCATTGTGAACTTCACCGTCAACTTCTTATCACCGTCAACTTCACCCAGCCATAAACTTCACCGTTATCGTGTGATTTAGTATCAACTTTAGTTTCTGATATTTTTTCCCAAGCTTTGTGTGATATGGTGTTTGCTTCCTTAGTTTCTCAATATATTTCATTTTGTGCCGTTAAGTACTGTTTTTCACTAAATGCTTGAAAACTCCTAATTGCATGGAAGCAATTCCTTAATTCTAGAGTTGATTTGGAAGCAATTCTTTAATTACTTCAAAGCAAGAAGCTCAAAGACTGTTGGCTCATCATACTTTAATGTATTTTCAAGTAACTTCAAACTTTAATGTTGAGGAAGTACAACACTTGGCACAAAGATGTTCAAGTATTTTCCCCAAACTAGGACAAAAATAGGCCTATTGAAAACACATTTTTACGGTCCTCGATTTTGTTCATTCTCTTTCTTAGTGTGAGCCACTTCAGTTTTTTTCTCAATATTTTTTGTGTAATTTTTATTTTACTGATTATATGAAGTGGCTTTATCAAACTAAACATGTGGAAGACCAAGTATTTTTAGTGTATATCTACCAGAATAGTATGCGGGTACGTACATAATTATTTTATTATTTTCTCTTTTTTGGTTGTGATTACGCCTAAAGAATAATGCAGTAATTATAGCACAGTTTTGGGGTGTTAATTCCACAGAAAGGCAAATTAAAAGAATAATATAATGAATAAAGAAACTAAAGAAAAAAAATATTAAATGATTACTGGATAATAAAGATTAATTTTAAATGCAAATTAAAGTGAAGCAAGTGACTAACGGAAAAAGTACTCAAATTTAACAAACAATAAAGAGTCAGGAATCCTTTGCACAAATCTAATATTTTAATTATTCTTAATTCATTGAATAACTTAACTAGGAACTTAATTTTCCAAATTCTCAATCGGAAGGTATAGACTTATAAACCAAGATTAAACCACATGTAACCATTTGAAAAATCATTCACCACTTTTAAAATACGTAAATTATTATCACTATTGAAAAAATCCAACGACGACAATATACTCAAGAAAGCAATATTGCAGTAAAGAATTATATCAATATAGATAAATAATTGATCCGAACATAATCAAATATCTAATCCATTCAATAGAAAAAGCATGACTGAATCCATAAACAGAATAAATTCTATGATTATTCGGAAAAAAAAAAAACCATTAACAATAAATTGAGAATGATAAAACAAAAGAGTTTTATTAATTAGAAATTAAATACAAAAATTAAAAATAAATAAAATATCATCTACTGTGCAAGTTCATCCCTCACCCTACCTTAGAAATTTAGTTACCCATAAATATAATAAACACCAAAAATCCCAAAAAAATAGAACAAATTGGTTGCCATCGGCGCTTTTCTCCACCCTTGATCTGCGTCTGCTCCCGGCCTAGATAGCCGCTGTCTTCTGTTTCGTCTTTTTTTTTAATCCCAGCTGCCAAACATAAAGAAAAGCAAAAAAAACAGCACAGCCGCCAAAACCCCCCCAAAAAGAAAAAGACTTTGGTAAAACCTATAAGTCTCGGCCTTTTGAAAAAAATATCTTTTCCTCCCCACTTTATTTCAACCTTTCTATTTTAGCCCTTCTTGATTTCAACCTTTTTACTTCAGGCCAAATTTGCTGAGTGTTGGGTCCACTATGACAGCTGATCAGTTTGAGTCTTTTTATTCTATGGGCTGAGATCAAAATAAAAATAAATATAAAAGTCGAATAATAAAGTTTAAAAAATATTAATTATAAAGCCCATTTATAAATTATATCTCACCACCCAATAATGTAATATTTGAGATTTAAAATATTATAAAGTCATGCTCAAATATATCTCAATGTGAATAGATATTAAATTCAATAATATAAATTATATTTAATTATTTCTATTCACATTTTAGTATTTTAATACAATAATAAGGTATTTAGAATGCAATTTCGCACACTCATCAAGTTGTCTACCAAAATAGTTTTTGTGTTTAATTGTAGATAAATTTGGGAGATTGGGATTATGGAAATATGAATTGATACTATGGGTTATTGGAGTTTGACATGATTTATTTGCAACAATTATTTAATGAGGATTGTTATCATCTCTCTTATACAAAAAGTATAATTAGCATTTGTGAATAATTGTCTTTCTTAGGGTTTAACTTTTATTAGTTATTCCTATGGTTTCATATTTCAGAAAGCTAAGAGCCACCCTTCTCTCTGTTTTTTTCTCTTTCACTCAATCGTAAAACCACCTACCTCAACCATCCACCCAACCCACCCAAACAGGACTAATCCTTAGAGATGGTTAACGAAGAAGTTTTTTTTTTTAATTGGTGATTATTTTATTGAGTTACGTAGTATTGTCATCCAATTTACGTATTGCTTTTTAAAATTAGTAATAATTTTAAATTAGTAATAATTTTTAATTAGACGATTTTCTAACATTACTTATTAATTAGACTATAATTTATTACTATTTTATTTTAAAAGCTTGAATTGTTGTATTTCTAATAATAGCAATTGTTAATTTGGAAAGTTTGTTGATAACCGAAAAAGAAATGTGTGTGAGTGTGTTGTTGTGCATATTTATATGTAGGGGATGAAACATTTGGGGATTAAATTTATAATTATGTTGTCATTGAGGTTAAATGGTGAATAGTAGTGATAAATTCATGAGTTTTATAAATAAATAAATTTTGGTTGATTTTATTTATTGTTTAAAGATTGTGAATTTAATTATGTTTTGTTTGTTTTTGCTTGAAGTATTTATTACATGGGTGTGGATAATTATATTGTATTATTGAGTTGAATGGAGATAAATTACATGTGGTGTTATTTTGAAGTGGATATGATCAATAGTATATTTCAGGTCATTTTAAAAAAAAATTGGTATGAATATTTTTGAGCCATTATTTTTAAATCTAGGCAATTGTTTTCAATATTTTTTTTGTGATATGTAGTGTCAATTGTTCATAATTTTTTTATGTTATACCTAAACCCTTGAGATTTGTTACTTACTCCCTTAGAGCCTTGATATTTGAATATTACACAAAACCCTCTGAAGTTTGTACACACTTAACATTTAGAATATTTGTTAGTAAATTACATCTAAATCCCTGAAAGTTTATATACGTGTAATATTTAAACCACCCAATTTTATAATATACTTAGACAAAAAAACTCTACTCAAAGATAAAATATTAAATATTTTAAATTTTACAACCAAAAATTATGTTATATTATGTCATTAATTGATATAAAATTCAAAATAAAAATCTATTTTTTTATAAAAAAATTATAATTAGTAAACAATTACACTATCTATTAGAATAAAACTAAAAAAAATAAACAAATTGTCAAACTGTAATGAATACAATATTTTCAATATTTAATTGGGGTAGAGTGGTCATTTAATAAATATATTTAGACCCTTCAAGTTTAAATCAAATGTTATACTTAAGTAAAAAATACTCTAATCGAAGATAGAATATCAAATATTTTTAATTATACAACTAAAATTCATGTTATATTATGTCATTTATTGATATATAATCAAAAATAAAAATTTAATTTTTTTCTTAAAAAAATTATAATTAATATACAATTATAATATCTATTAAATGTTCAAACTACCTCAATTAAAGATAGAAGATATTATATCCATTACAGTTTGACTCTTTATTTATTTTTTTTAGTTTTATTCCAATAGATACAACCAAACTATCCCAATTATAGATAAAAGATATTGTGTTTATTATAATTTGACCTCTTATTTATTTTTTTAGTTTTATTTTAATAAATAGTATAATTCGTAATTGTATAATAATTATAGTTTTTTAAAGAAAAAATTGGATTTCTATTTTTGATTTTATTTTAAGAAATGACACAATAAACATAAATTTTGTTTCTAAATTTTAAAATATTTGATATTCTATCTTTGATTGAATTATTTTTTGTCTAAGTATAACATTTTAAACCTAAAATGTATAAATATTATATATTTATAAATTTTAGAAGATTTGAATATAATTTATTGACAAATATTTGAATGGATATTGACGACAGGGACATATAAATATTAGTTAGTTTCCATGTAATATTTTAAATATCAATGGAATAAGGGTTTGTAATCTCCCTTATTAGTATCAATGTTGACACGAACATATTACAAATTGACCGAATATATCAACTCTTGTTTGGCTTGTCGATTTCGTCAGACGTTAGATGGTCCACTGACGTGCAAAAATGAATCACTCTGCTCTCGTTCGCGCCTCGGCACCCCAACTACCACCCCTTTGCTCAACCAAACCCTTCAGGTTACTGACTCTCACTCACTCTCTCTCATATATTTCAGCTTGGCATTTCTTCAAACACATTTCCTCTCTCTTTCTATCTTCCTTTATTGTTGTTGCCTTTCTTGTTTAAGCTGTTTTGGCATACTTTTTTTCTCACATAATTTGTTTCTATGTATGTAGGGACGGTGTTATTGATAATTTTGCCATTGAAGGTCAGAATTTAAGTTATTCTATTAGGACAAGGAAAGGCAAGTTTGTGCCAATTCTGAAGGATTGTTCACTTCGGATTCCTTCCGGGCAGTTTTGGATGCTTCTTGGACCCAATGGTTGTGGAAAATCTACCCTTTTGAAGGTATACAACATTCAATCGTACCGTTGTTCTTTCTAAAGTTTTTAGGAGTGCTGTTTCATGTATTTGTCTCCAAATGTTATTTACCATCCTTCAAATTCTCACTATTGAGTTATTCAATAATTTGGAAAAAAAAGAAGATTCCATGCATAGAAAAAATAATTATGTTGTACATTATACAGATCTTGGCTGGTCTCTTAAATCCGACTGATGGATATGTGTATGTGAGAAAACCAAAGAGTTTTGTTCTTCAGAATCCAGATCATCAGGTTAGTTTTAGTTGAGTTCTCTTCTGATTAGATACACTGTTGAAATCTATGGGATGATGATTCTATAAGTAATTGAATGGAATTAACATTTGTTTTGTAGTGATTAGAAAAGTATGAAACAAAATTGCATGGAAATTGATTCCCGGGGTGTGAGTTGGTGATTGCCAGATCTATCAGCTAACAGTGGATGCTCTCAATAGAGAAAACATTTCGTTAATCAATTTATACATTTTGAGGGAGGGCAGTAGTTGTCTTTGATGTCTCTCTCTCAACTTCCTTAAGATTCCCACTTCGACACACACACACATATTTCACCACAAAACTTAACCGTTTCTCTCCCCCTCTTTCTTTTCTCTCTCTCTCTCTCCACATTCAATATTAATTAATCAAAACAACTTGTAAAACTTTTAATAATTATCTTATTATAGACAAGTCTATTTTATAGTTTCAGATATAAAACTTTGTCAAGGAATAACAAGGAGAGAATAATCACCAGTGGTGGCTCTAATAACATGGAGACACCAAAGGCTAAGTAAACACTGGGCATCCCAATATCGACCCAAAAGCATAAGCTAATGTGTCTTGTGCCAAGCATAAGCTGATGTGACATGTAGGGGGGAAAATCCTCACATATCAGAATAAAGAGAGTTGTCTGGAATGACTAATGAGTACTCGGGATCACCCTTAGCTTGCAAAATGAGCGAACTACCACAGATCGGTGGAGTACTGGCCTGAGGCATTGCGATGCTTAAGTCCATAATAACACGAGAAAGTGTATATAATGTACTAGAGAAAGTGTACATACCTTAGATTTAAGCTTTATCGATATTTATAGGGAGCTTGTCCCTGATTATTTAGGACTGCAATACAATCCTAGTTGAAATATGGTGACACACCTAAATTTCAGTTACACCTTCTTTAATTCGTGTTTGAACTTTATAGGGTTTCCTTTCTCATTGTCAATTTAGGTCACGTGTTAATTATGTGTTTCTATGATTTAGGCAATTTCCTTATTGGTTGCCTACTGCCTCTAAATTTTTGGGATTGCCTAGATATCTGCTCAGTCGGGGTAGCCTAGCTACCTGTTCAGTCGAATCTTATCCTCTGCTCAGTCAAACTTACTTTAGGTTGGCCGGGTAGCCTAGTTACCTCACAGTAGAATCTTATTCTTTGCTCAGTCAGACCTACTTTAGCTCAGCTGGGATAGCTAGCTACCTACTTGGCTAAAGCCAAAATCTACTTAGCCCAGGTATAGTCTTGAACCTTTATCTACTTGGTCATAATTAAGTTATTCCAAATAACTCTTTTTAGCACGTACATCCTGCCACGTGTCCAAGTCCAATTATTAAATGATGATAAGAATTTATTGATTCCATCACTTGCCCCTAGAGAATATTTTCCATGTGGCACACTGGAAGATATTCTCTGTTTACAATCCTTTTTTGTGTCCTTTCCCCCTAGCAAAGAAGTTCTACCTCAATGAAGCGTTCGATACTTAGAAAAATTTCAATCATGACTCTCTTCTCCTAGCCAAGTGGACTTGTCTCATTGAAGGGTTTAGGTATCAGTTCTTGGTCACTTATTGTAACCCCTGCACCGACGTGCCGATCTAATCAGTCTTCAAACTTTATCCGTTTGCCTTACACCTTCGTGCTAGGCCATGTGCCTAAGTTTGATCGGATGGTTGCACTTGAGCTAGGTTCCTGCCTCTATTAGGATTTTTTCTTCCCTGCCTTAGCAGTAGGTTGGCTTATGCCCGAGCCTTCTCAGGTCTTTTGCTTAGAACTTCATTCTTAGAACTTTTTCCTTTGCTTTGACAAGGGCATACATGACCTTCCATATACCCCCACTTGAGTTGCTCTATCTTGATAGAGGCTTATGCATCCTCCTAGCTTTATATTTCTAGATGTTGTGTTTATGTGGCAGACCGCAAATAAATGCCACCCCCCGTCTTAGGGTTGGTTGTCCAAGTGATAAGCTAGGTCTTTCATGTGGCAAACACTCCACCAAAAGATTAGCTCTAAAGTTTAATCTTATTTACTTTCGGGAATGTACTTCGTGGTGGAACATCTTTCATGTGGCAGGTACGCCACAAAAAGATTAGCTCTCAAGCCCAATTTTATTCAATCGCGGGAGGTACTCTACTGTTAGCCATCTTTCACGTGGTAGGTACTCAACAACAAGATTAACTCTGAAGCTCAATCATGTTCACAGATGGGAGGTACTCTCCTGAAGAGATATAGCATCAGTTTTCCCAATTCAAGAGCTTAGTCGTATCATTTATAAAAGAACGCCGATTCTTATTTTGGCTCGTATCATTTTGTTCGATCTAGGTCATGTTCCTCGAGTCTCGGCCCCATATCTGTGTCTAATCCATCTATGTAAAGATTATTTCTTGAGTAATTAACCTCCTTGGGTTGCTCTTTCAATGGTAGATCTCACTAGCCTTATTCTCTCGGGTGTTGTCTTTATTCGTTACTTACGCTTGCAATTTCCACCAATTGGCGCATCAATTTTAAGGATGTGAGCTTAGCGCCACCCTGTCTCTTTGTATAAGGTATGCCTCCTCTGGGCTCATTCTGAATCGTGTATGTAATATTCCATTGCATAGTTTTTCAATTTGTAGAATAAGAGAAAGCTTCCAACAGCTAGGAGCATTCTTGGTGATATGACGATAAGAAGCATCATCCTTTGTCCGATTGATGATGGTGTTCTACTTTGCACTGATTTCTTTATGTAGCTCCCTATAATGGCTTGCCCAATATGATGTGTTGCGAGTTTATTTTGATCAGGTCCTCTTCCTTTGCTTGCGAAGAGGAAGGCTCGAATGAAATCACACATTTGTCCTCTTACTTTGCAATGCTAGAAACTTTTATAACCTGATTGACACCCATGCTCTTCATAGACTATACAAAAGAGTATCAAAGCACTATAAACTCTGCGCTAGGAGATACCAACCGCTTCTTTTCTGTGAACCGAAGTTCCCTTTTCGCTATGTCGCTATAGTAATGCCATTCTCAAGCGAACATGTGGTCTATGGGGTTCGGTCACATTTGACTCATATCTTGCCTTTCAAGTGGCTCGTTTAGTCGATGAAAGTCTCAAGCATTGCTCTGTTCTGACTTTACTCGGTATTACACCGAAGCATGGTCCCGATCCACATAGGAAATCCGAACATGGGGTTGAAAGAATAATAATGTTTCGACTAGTGTTGGGGTGCTAGATCGACTGTCTAAGAACTGGTTGTCAATAGTGATGCTGATTGCCAGCCAATCGGCGTAGTTCCTCCAAGTATGCTGAGCAACTTCTAACTTTCAACGAGCATCCGAGGCAAGAAAGTTCAGGCGTCAGTCCACCACCATGCTATTGAAACTAAGTGTCTAACAACCTCCTCAACTCGATAAAAGAAAAACGTGTGTTTGGGCTTTCGCTGATTTTGGCAGCACCCTCCATACCAATATGGAAATCCATGGTTTGCCAACCACTATGTTGTGTAGAGACCTGAGGCTAGAGCTTAAAGCGGACAAGCTTGCATCATATTTGGAGTGATCGATATGTAGATGTTTTAGTTCTTTGCTTGAGTAAGAGGATGCCCTGATACTTTGCTCGAATAACTTCTTTGAGTTCAATATTGAGGACTTGAATGCCATAAGGATACCAAAAAATTCACAGTTTGCATCACAACGCAAACCAATCGATGCAAAAGCACTCTGTTTCCCGGCCTACTGGAAAAAAAGGTGACCTTGGTAAGCGCATTTTAAGCATTCAACCAAATGCCTGAAGGCATAACTCGTTTGGAGAGCTGTGACCACAGTGTTTGCTTTGTCAGAATAATGCCATCTTGATCAAATTTTGATTAGACCAATCAATCTCTATTTGAGATAATTGGCAGAAAGCCGAGCATATTTGCATGTGGAGCTCTAGAGAAATTCTGCTTGCTAATATGCGTGAGCATTAGCTTAGAGAGGACCCGCCTCTTTAGTCAAGGTCTGAGTTTTTGACGACTGACTCTATCTTAACCTTGAAGTATTCTGAAGAGAAAAATTGGGTGAGGCTAGCCACTTTGTTAGATGGCGCCAACGTGGTCTGACAAGAGAGTCATTGCTCGTTCATGTGCCCACGTTTTCAGAATTGCTGAGATAATGAGATCATCATTGCAGCAGCGAGTGAATGGCTTTTGCTCGGTCTTTTGGATACTTGGTCATCCATGCTAAATTATTTGTGCTATGAACCAATGATGAGATAGGTGATGCCAAAAGTGCACTACACTCATGGCGAGAGACACCGTACACCATTGTTATAATTTTATCATGCTGAAGCAAAGAATTATTAGTCAAGTTGTGTATGGGCTGAAGGACAGAGTTCTTCTAAGAGTAAGGAAGCATCATGCATAAACAAGAATTGTTCCTTGGTTGTGCCAGCAATCATCCTTGTTGGCGGCAATCAATTTTATTGAGGATGGCGATCATTTGGTTTAGATTGAGCGTAGAATTGCTTAAATTGCACAACGAGACCTTTTGGTGTGATGATGCATATGGAGAGTTCATAGAGGCATTGAGAACCGTTTCCTAGTCCTCATGAACTCGAGCACTGTCATGAGCTTCAAGATGTGATAGACCCGTCCATTTGCTCATATTGAAGCCAGGTTACGGAGAAGTTGTATGATGTGGCTTGCGATAGACGTCATTCAAGAATTTGATTTGCTGCTACTATGTGATTGGGATCATGTGTGGACTAGTATGTGGTCATTACAACTGTTGTGTTCGGTCTTCTGAATTTCGTCAAATCCCGTCCCCCACTAATGTGCTCAGAGAATAACTTATCCTGTCTAGAGGCACTCTGGTTAGTCATATTTGTCAATCAGGACAATTCGGCATAGGTGTTACATAATCTGGGTGAGCCAATTTGACCCTTTCATCTTGGTATAAAATTTTGACTGCCTCCTTTTAAAAAAGCAACAAGCAGTCTTCCATGAGACTTTGGCAGCATGCTGTGGCAATTAGCAACAAAGATAACTTTAGACTTCTTTCTTGGAGTTTCCAACCCGTTTTAGTAGTTCCTTGTTCAAGTTGCTAATGTCTACCACTTTTCAGCTTCAGTTGATGATTCCAACTATTAAAGAGCTTCAGGTGATTGATCTCCTTGGTCTGACTATTTGCCCCCAGGCTAATTCCGTGTGCAACAAGATGGCTCTATATATGATGCTTTACTTGGTATTGGTCGATCCACCTCTGGCTTGGCTTCTCTCAGTAGTCGTATCAGGATGATCTTCAACTATCAATTAAATATATATTGATAATAATCATTCAATTCACACACACACACACACACATATATGATCATGTGATAAAGTAAATAATTATCTTAATAATAATCATCAATTCATCCATTCTTCAATTCTAACAATTCAAATTATGATATCAAATAAAAAATATAATATCATATATATTGATATACATTCATCATAAACATCCATGATTCAACTATCAATGACTTACAATTTTCATTCTAAAAGATATCTCACTTCGTAATCCTAATTTTCATCAATTTTAAAGAGCCACAATTTTATAATCTCATTTTTCATCACATTACTTTCATATAGAAAGATTATTCCAGCAGTATATAATTTCGTTTGTGTCCGAAATGATGTTATATTCATGTCCTATGTGCATGTAGTGATTAGAACTATTTTAATATTGTGTCTTTGACCTACATCTCTTTAAAATTGCAAAAATAACTTACTTAATTATGAAGTTACTTGACTGGTTTTCAAAATTTTGGAAAAAATCTCAAACACATGTCCAAGAAAAGATTCCCGAGTGTGCTGGTCGTGTGTCCCCAACATGTCCAAAACGTGACTTGGACAACAAAAAAAACGGACACTCATTTTAGCGTATTTGTGTCTAAACATGTCTGACGCCGACACTCTGACAAAAATAGTATCCGTGCTTGTTAGCCTGAACTACATACCAAATCAACCTATGATCCTGGTAAAGGTAATCTTGTAATCTTGTACTTATCTTGGTGACATATGTGCATGTTAACAGAATCTCCACTCACATTCATAGAATTTCAAGTAACATAGTTGCGATGAACTTCGGCTAAAGAATCTGCATAAATGGGGAACCAACTCTTCCATTTTGTAGGTAGTGATGCCTACAGTTGAAGCAGATGTGGCATTTGGCCTTGGTAAATTCGACCTGACCCATGATGAGATTAGGTCCAGAGTGGCAAAAGCTTTGTATTCTGTCGGAATGTATGAATACTTGCAAGTATGTATCAAATCTTGCTTTTAGATTGTTAAAGGTTTTGTTAGAACTCTACATTGTACTTCATATGCAACCTTCCTTCCACTTCACTTTACAGAGACCAGTTCAAACACTTAGTGGTGGTCAGAAACAAAGGGTTGCTATTGCTGGTGCTTTGGCCGAAGCATGCAAAGTATTGTTACTCGATGAGCTCACAACATTCTTGGACGAAAATGATCAGGTGATGTTACTTAATGTCAATGATAAGGTTGCCTTCCTTTGGAAGAACTTTAGCAATTAGAAAGCCATTTGTAGGTGATAGTTTATTTTATTTAAGTTACTTTGTACTTTTTTCAGTGGATTTCTTTTCCACCATTTAGCTATACTAGCGATAACTCATGCTAATCACAGTGTGTTAATGCCTAGAATTAAGTGAAGTTTGTTGTGTGATTAGCATTCATCTTTTTAGACTGTTAAGTTTAGAGAATTAATACAATATTAGAAAAACAGAGAGTGGTCAAAAACTTTTAACCTACCTCTCACTAACAACTTGCATTTATAGTCATCTCGTAAACATACAAAGGACGGATGTGTAATTACATAATAATAATACTCTCAATACTCCCCCTCAAGCCGGACTGTATATATCATATAATCCAAGCTTGGAACAGATGACTATAGGATGAGTACAACCCAATGCTTTGGTAAACATGTCAGCAAGTTGATCTTCATATCTCACAAATAGAGTTGTAATATCTCAAGTTTTTATCTTATCCCGAAGAAAGTGACAATCGATTTTGATATGTTTGGTTCTTTCGTGAAATACTAGATTAGCAACAATATGAATAGTCGCTTGATTATAACATAACAATTGTAAAGGAGACTGAATTGGATAACCAATTTCCCGAAGGAAGTGTAATAACCATGTCAATTTACTAGTTGTATGTGTCATTGCTCTATACTCAGTCTCGGTATTGGATCTTGCTACCACTATTTGTTTCTTGTTTTTGCATGTGACAACATTATTTCCTAAAAAAGTATAATAATCGGTGGTTGATCTCCAATTTGAGGGAAAACTAGCTCAATCAGCATCCGAAAAATATTTCATTCTAAGATGTCTATTGGTTCGATACAAAGCCAAGACAAGGTGCACGTTTGAGGTCTCGAAGGATGCGAGTAATTATCTCCTAATGTGGGACTCTAGGACATCTCATAAATTGACTTACTACACTAACTGTATAGGCAATATCCGATCGGGTAATAGTGAGATAATTGAGTTTTCCAACCAACCTACGGTACCAACCCAAATTCTCAAACAGTATCCATCATCCATCAACAATTTCTGGTTCGGATCCATAGTAATATCAATTGGTTTGCCACCCAACATACCTATTTCTTCTAACATGTCATGTACATATTTTTTCTGAGATAAACAAATACCTTGTTTAGATTGGGTAACCTCAATACCCAAGAAGTATCTAAGTTTTTCTAGATCCTTAGTGTGAAATTGATCCAGGAAGGTTTTTAACTTAACAATACCCTCGATATCATTACTAGTAATGACAATATCATCGACATAAACAACCAATAGAATATACCCTGCATCAGTCAGTTAGTGAAAGACAGAGTGGTCTGTTTGACATCGAAAAAGATCAAACTCTAAAATTGCATCTGAAAACTTACCAAATTATGCCCTCGGTGACTATTTCAAACCATATAAAGATTTTTTTAACTAACACACATTCTTACTGTAATCCCCTTCGAGCAGTAAACTTAGGTGATTGCTCTATGTAAACCTCTTCAGCCAAGTCATCGTGTAAGAAGATATTCTTGACATCTAACTGAAATAAGGCCAATCGAGATTATCGGCCAAAGAAATCAATACACAAACATAAGCAATTTTGACAACAGGAGAAAAAATCTCCTCATAATTAACACCATAGGTTTGAGTAAAACCCTTAGCAACAAGACGGACTTTGAGACACTCAACAGAACCATCCAGATTAAATTTAATTGTATACATTCATCTACAACCAACAGTCCGTTTATCAAATGGTGAACATAAGCTCCACTATGACGTAAGACATTCATCTCCACTTCCATAGCTTTCCTTCAACCCGGATCAATCAATGCACCCTGTAAAGTCTTAGGAATAGAGATAGTAGAAGTTGATAAGTAAAGTGAGAGAAGACAGGAGACAAAGCATCATAAGAAACAAAATTAGTAATAGGATGTTTAGTCACACATGATTGAGTACCTTTTTGAAGAGTAGTAGGTAAAGAGTCGGAAGTATCTGAGTAACTAAGATCAAGAGATGGCAAGGGCACCTTAGTCGATGATCGTGGACGGCAAGAGTATACAAGAAGCGGGGAAATATATGGTAGCATAGCAGGCAGCGAAATAGCTGACGATAAGGGAAGTCATACGAGAGTAATTATCTACAAATGATACAAAATAAGAAAATTTATTAAAAGAAATATTCTTTGTTGGATCTCCATACATCAGAATGTACTAACTCATACATCAGAATGTACTAATTCAAATAGATAAGACAGATTTATTGACTCTAGACTGAAATAACATAGTGATACTTACTAAGTTGACAAGTTTCACAAGACAATTCACGGTTCAAAGCATCGGTTGAGACTGATATGACTCGGCTGAGTTGTATCCATCTTGGCCATGACCAATCCGATATCGATACACGATACATAAATATCACGAGTCACTCATGATTCGGCAGTGAATCGATTACAACTCGGTAGTATCGGCTCGACTCGGACTTATATCGTTTGAATCGGGTGAGTTACATTGGACTCAGACCGATACTGGTAGAAACTTAAGCAAAATCTCCAAAATCAAAATGGCAAAGAAAAAAAAAAAGATGGAGAAGAATATCTAATACCTAAATGGGCATTTTTCAAACCCTAATTCACAAAAAATTATAAGCAAATTCACCCCCTTTTGCAATTACAGAAATAGAAGAAAAATTGAAAGAATTGTAAGGCATGCCTGTTAAAATAGAAGACACAAAAAAACCCCCTCTTTCTTCTTTTTCTTCATCATCATCAGAAAAGCCCTAGCATCGCAGATGAGTCAAAGACTCAGATCTCTCCCAGCAAGCCTTCAGTGACCAGTGTCGACTCCCAGACCCATCGCGTCTCTCTCTCTCTCTCTCTCTCTCTCTCTCTATTGATCGCATGTTTTCTGTTCGTTGGATTCTGAGAGTTGAAGAGAGAGTTTTTTTTTTAGTCAAAATATGTGAGGCTTTGGCCTTTTTTAAGAATGAGACCCAAAAATTTATTTCCCCCCCCTTTTCTTTTTGTTTTTTCGGTGTTGGTCCAATTTTTTTAATTATATAATTTTTAGTATTTATCATATAATCTAAGTAGAACTTAATTTCTTAAGTTTGCTTTTGTATATGTATTGATGATTTAATAATTAAATGTACATAATGGAGAAAATACATATAATTTCTAATTAGATACATATTAAATAAGTAAATAAATAATTTCTTTATAAATAGATTTTCATTTTTAAAGTTATTTAAGTTAACCATATATATACACTTATATTTTTTTATAATTTTAAAAAATTACAAATTAAATTATATTAACCTTGAATATAGATGGTAATAAATATTTTTCGGTAGCATCCTTATTATTCTTTTTTGTAATGATTAATGTGTTAAATAATATCTTTAGGGATATGATGCATAAATGATGATATTTACATTTATTACAATTTGTTTCTAATTTTTTCTAATTTTTTTGAACCTTTTATATAGTGTTTTGGGCGTATCGGCCGATATCGCGCCGTGATGTCGCGATCGATGTGTCTCAGTGGCCCTGAGTCAAGGGCTGATACTGCAACTTTGAATCATGCAAGACATAGATAACACAACTAAGATTGTGAACTTAATGCTTCAAATGCTAGAGGGAGTGATGACCAAGACAACAATGTCACTTAAAGGGAGATAACGAGGTCTGAAATGCTCAAGAAGGGAAATTAAAGGCAAAATAATAGAGATCACCGACTTCATGTCCCGTACCAATCGTCCTCTTGTCTGGAGATCTTAAACTACACAATAAGATGGATAAAATATTACTGAACAATTAAGAGGGGGTAATTTTGCTAATGAAAAGTAAACTAAAAAGAAATTGAGGGACAAATAAAACGGATGATAAGGACATAGTTGAACTCAATTGAATAGTCTCCGAACCTGAAACCTTAAAAGAAGTATCATTAGTAAGGCTAGTACTATGTGGGAAAATAACAGAATGATAAATAAAAAAGATAATGGACGGGAAACTGCGAGAAGAGGACAGTAAATAAGTAGAAGTGGTACTTGGGCAAAAGTAGTAGTGGGAGATGGAGAAGCTTACTACCCAGCCATGAACTGAGCATACTCTTCTCGTGTGATAGTGACTAACTCGGGGTAAGGCGGAGCAGATAGAGATATTGGAAGCTGGTATAGAAGAAGCGGTACTGTCTTGCTTGGATTCCATAGTAATATAAAGTAGGAGCACTCAAAGAACAAAGGTGAGAAAAGACCCTAAGAGTTGCACGGAACAGTAGAGTAGGGATGGTGGGAGAGGCTGAACCGGACAGAAGAGGCCACTGGAATGCTGAACCAGACTGAAAAAGTTTGTTGGACCGCTGAATCGGACTGAACAAGCTGTTGGAATGCTGAACCAGACCAAAACCAATTGTTGGACCATTGAACCGGGCAGGGCAATCTGCTGGAATGCTGAATCGGACTGAACAAGCCTGGTGGAACACTGAGCCAGACCAGAATTAACTGCTGGACCACTGGACCACTGGACCGAACCAGAATCAACTGCTAGACCACTGAATCGGACCAGAACTGGTCTAAAGAGGGCTGAGCCAGAATGAACTTGAACCGGTCTGAGAAGAGATGAATTGAACCGGTCTGAACCTGAACCCAGTATGTTGGGCTCACCTGAGCTAGGCTGAAGTCCTGAAGTTTTGGGCTTGAACTGTGGGCCTTGGATTAGGCTGGACAATTAATTTAACATGTGGACCAACAAATAATTAGGTTGGGCAATTAATTGAGGATTGGGCTAGGCAATAAATTGAGCCCGTGACCATCTGATGGGTTATGAGCCGACGGATCAACCCAGCTCCCAACGGACTTCGTCTTCTCCACGTCGTAGGGTTCTATTGAACCCTAGTTGCAGACTGTGTGTAACACCAGGCCAATCCCAAACCACAACAACTACTTCCAACCACCTGCGACCACCACAACACACCCACAGAAGTTGCCAGTGACAACACAGC